CGCTCACTTCCTTTCTTCGAGGCAAACCTCTCTAAATGCTACTTGTGACACTAAGGAAGCCTTCGTGTCAATAAGAGGGCAGGAGCCCTCTTAACCCAGGAATTTAGTACCCAAAGGGGGAATTTGAGTCAGCGTCGTACTGAGGATATGCATTGCTTGTGACCGTGGGATCCCCACAAATTTAAATACCTGGCAATATTAACATTTTTGGGAAACAATGAGACCCAGGATGATTAATCACAGCCGTGTCGATGGTAGAATGATAAAGATCATGTCGTGTGAAGATGGACTCCCTCTAAGAAGGATCGAATAACAAGAATGTGTAATAAATACATTTATTATATTTATAACAACATCATTGGGCTCAAAATCATGCCGCGAAGTAACAGGATTTAATATTCTGTCTCAAATATTTGTTATTACATGTTTAAATAATGCATTGTTGATAAAGATGATAAAGTTAAATCAAACATCTATACCATGGTAAATGCACAGGTTTAGATTCGTTTCTCAAGCATTCATTCCAAGAACTTGAAGTATATGATATACAGCATATAGAAACTATGCATAACGCATTCAGTAATAAATATAAAAGTAGTAATGGACAAAATGAAGTCGATAATATTTATTTAATGGGTATAATAATAAATTGAGAATAATGATATAACAAATGTACATTGTATAGTCATGTATTTAATAATATATCCCATAATATTTTAAAAGAAACATACAAGAAAATTTCTTCTCAATGTATTTTATTGTATTTTATATATAAATATTTATATAGGCTAATAGAACTCATGTCACCGGCCTGAAATTTAAGGGTAAAATCAATACTTGGTTTGTTAAGACCCTCTAGCCTCGTTTATTGACTTGTTTTGTAACAATCTGAAACTAAGCCCTATAATTCATGGTTATGCCTCTATATATTGCTTTTATTGGTCTTATTCTTGATAATTCTTGTTTAATTATCTAAATGACCTTTGTATACAGACCCGTATTGAATTGCTCAAAAAAACTCCAAAAACGATTCATTTAAAATTAGATAGCTAAAATATTTTAAGGTATCACGCACGACAGAAAGGGAAATAAATTAAAGCTCGTATTACTATTCACTGAAGTTGATTATTGCACTCAAGGTATAAATCATGAACATAGGGTTACTGGACTGTAATCTTATGAAATTTGTCATTTTTAGAGATGTTACCATATCAAGAACGTAATCTCTAAATTATTGTTAATTATCTTTTTTAAAGAAAGCAGTTTTCATGAGGATAACCGATTTTACTCCAGTATATTATTAAAATGTAAAATGTCAAATTAGTCCATGCTGGGACTTCGATTTATTGGCGAGTCACATTTTCCAAAGGGTTGTTGGAAATCGGAAACTGACGTTCTCCTGTCTTCCTTCTCTCACTTTCTCCAATTAAACACCAGAGGGTTTTCATTTTTTCCTGAACACGCCCACCTTCTACTTCAAAACCTATTCTCGCCATCTTCTAGCAAGTCGACTATGCTTTTCTAACAGTTCGTAAACACCAACACTTTCTCTTCGTCTCTTCCTAGTGATTTGCGTAATCAATTGTATTTCATAACGTTCGATCCTTCACGCTTCAAAACCAAATTTAATGTCCGATTTTCGAACAAAAATTGGGCTAAATTCTATTACTAACCTTTCTTGCGAAAATCATTGCAGCAGCGCGGAGATAAAGCCAGTCATTAGTCACCTCAGAAGTGCCTTTCTCTTCATCATTCATAGCATTAGCATGAACTATTTCGTCTGTCTCTTTGGAACCTTTGCCTAGCCCTCGCTGTGGCACTAATCCCATTAAAATAACAAAAGTACTGTTCGACAACGTATACAGTTCGAAATTATTAATCTTATAGCAAGTGTTGCTTCACCAGCCCGTTATCGCGAGAGTTCCCAACGCCAAGAAACTGCCGTACTGAAGCGCCTTGTTTAAACGAACCAAAGGACCTACTAACAGAAAACGCGGCTTTATCAATTTCGCGAGCGGTTACCATTTTCTAGAACGACAGTCTTTGGCCTTAGGTTAAGTATACGTTAAAATGCAACTTGCTATGAACGACAGGTTTGCTTCACTGTGTTCAGCTAAAACATGCTGGAGATCATTTAGTTATTATCCTTAAAAAGGGAAGTTCCGATGATCACTGAACGTTGTTGAAAATCGGACAAATTATCACACTCAAAATTTAATGCGATAGAACGCAAAATATATACTATTTTTTTTTTTTTACTAAACTCGCTAACAAGTGCTAACGTAACAATTTTAAAATTAAGAGAAATTGTCATTTCATTTCAGCGGCTGTATAGCTGCAACTTCCGGTTGTTCCGACATTGTCCACTTGGTAAATACGTCAGCGGAGGCGGGAAATGTAAGCCCTCATTATGCATTTTGTTGCGTGAGTGTTTGATAGAGCTTTTAGCTCTTGGACCTCGCCTTTCAAGCCGTTGGTTGACTCTTTATTCAATCATATATTCTAAACCAATTTCTGACCAGCGTCAGAATGTAACCCACAACAGCTGTATAACTACCAAGTACTAATTTACTGTTAGATTAACAGAAGCAATACGTGAATGGAAACGTGACCCAAACTCTTCCATCCTGCTTTTGGGATAGAGTCTGCGATCCTCAGTTGCTAGCCGACGACGTAGCCCAATGCGCAAAAGGATCCGGTGAGTTCCAATACTAACTAGTACTGATAGACAATCGCTGGTGTAGTTGCATTAGTACTGTAGTAGCCAATAGGGTAGTCCTTGGCCTCTCAAGTTCGAATCCTGGTGAGATCATAAAGGTTAAAGTATGTTTCAGCTTGGGGACCATTCAAGCTTTGTCTCACACTTGCAGGCTCGACCCTATCTGTGCATATGCTTGAATTTGATGAAAAACTCTACCAAAGATTCATTACAAGTGTTACAGGGTAATTGTTGGTTATGGAACTCGTATAGAAAGCATGCGAGTTCCAAGACCAACCGATAATTGCAGGCAATTGCTGGTGTAGTGATATTTGTACTGAGGTAGCCTTTAGGGTGATCCCTGCAACCCGTCCTCAGACCAAGTCCATTCCATCCAGCCATTGACCCCCAAAGATGCATTCATAAATTTTAACAAGCTGTTCAATCAGACTAGGAATTTTCTCAAATATAAATTAATATTGTTATATATTAGAATACTGTGCATATTTGGGCATTGGTTATGTTAGGTGTTTAGGTTCTGTTGGCGATTATTTGTATGTGTAGTACGTGAGTGAAACATTTACAGCGTTGGGGTTCGAACAAAAGTCGTCAGAGAAGCACTTGCTTGAGAAGCGTTCGAACGCTATCAGTTGTGAGTCATGTGTACCGCCCGTCCTCATTAGCAAAGGCCAAAGTCCATTCCATGCACCCGCCAAACCCCCTGTTTATAAATGAAAAACGGTTTACACACGACTCACAATTGATGACGTTCGAACACTCTTCGAACAAATGCTTCGCTGACATTATTTGAACCACAACGGTGTTGTGGTTCAAATAATACAAATAATCGCCAACAGAACCAGAACCTAAGCTCCAAACTTTACTAATGCCTATATATGCACAGCATGCTAATATATAACAATATTAACTTATATTTGAGAAAATTCGTATTTTGAATTAACAGCATGTTAAAATTGATGCATGCGTCTTTCTGGTAGACCGCTGGATGGAATGGACTTGGTCAGCGGACGGGTTGTGTGTATAAACAGTTATAAATTCATAATCATGGGGGTTTTGCAGTTGCATGGAAGGAACTTTGGGGTTTGTTTATGAGGACGGGTCGGATCTCTGGCCTCGCAGTTTCGAATTCTGATAATCTAGTTTAGAGCGATTATGCATATTTAATTTATTTGTACTTGATTTGCAGAGCGTTGAACCACAGACACACAAGCAGCAGCCTGCAGCTCTAACCATCTATAAATTATTTTTTTAGAATATGCCACACCACAAGCATGATTCCTCAAATTAAAATGCACGATCGTTAAAACCAAGTAAAATCACCCACTTAGAAAAGCAGCTTAGAAGATACGTTTTCTGAATAACTAAACCAATACACACATGAAATGAAAATAACAAGGCTTCGGTCCGTCCTGGACCAATATCAACTCGTAACAGGGCAAGAGTGATTGATTGATGAAGTGTAAGCCAACAAGAAGTGGCATGGAATGAATAGCCAATAAGAGCAAGAGTGAGACAGAGAGATAGTCGATATAAGTCAAATACGATGATGAAGTTACATGATATGAGGGGTAAATGGAGAAATAAAGCATGGAAATCGAGCTAACATAAAAGTAACAGAAACTGTAGAAGTCCTACTGCCTCATACGAGAAATAATAAACTGAAATTAAGCAGAATCTTGAGGGAATATAGGTGAAACAATTAAACAACATTTCTAGAATATATATAGAGATAGGAGCAGAAAAGACAGAAGCAAAGAACACCGGAAGCAGAAAGTTAAGTCAGATCACGCTTACTAAGAAGATTCTAGCTTTTAACTATATACTGACTAAACCTGACTAAACTCTGGTCAACAAGACCACAGACATGATTAACGTTCATGTTGACCAAGTTTGTCTGGTAACTGTGCAGAGGAGGCTGTGAGAGTTTTGTTTACTATAATATTTCAGTTCTAAAATCAATGAAGTCCTTCGTTTGCGTAGAGACAGGGCATAATTAAGTCATTAGAAAATACTATTTTACATATAGGAATAGGAATACCGAGAGATGTATTCCCCTTCTTAGTGTATATGCATCCAAACATTACTTTAAGCTTGAAATATTTGTGGGCTTAAACATATTCTGGCAATTTGATCAGTCAGCTCATAACCTTCTTGAGCCTAATACCAAAAAAAACATAATTTATAGTATATATAATGCTTAGAAGAGTGCAAAGTGCTAAAGCACATATGGATCAAAAACCCTGTCTCAGCTTCGATATTCAGGACAGTTATAGCCACCCACCTCATCGTCGTCCTCGGTGTCTCCAGAGTATCCAGCTTCCGTCAGCAGTGTGATCGGGTCCTCTTGAGACAGCGGCACCTCCTGTACTTCTGATATTAGGGAATCCGAAGCCCTGCGGACCCATATTTTCTTCGAGCACAAGCGGTGAGTTTCGTGCGAGACTACAACATCCTGGAAAACTTCCCCACACTCCTGAAGATCCTCCTCATCACTGGATAAAACGATAGCTTTGGTCCGGATAAGCGATGGTCGTGGTCTTGGGAATGGCCGCCGGCAGGTCGAGGCACCAGTGCTAGGTGATAAAGGCAGTGTTCGAGGACAGGCTGATTCACGCATGATCTCGTTTTCAGAAACGCAGCGCCGGCCAGCTGTCGGGGAATAGTCAGTGGGAATGTTAACGCTAGCCTCACTTTTGTATGAATCGTACACAGATGGACTATCACTGAATGTTGCTGAATCGAGAGATGTTTTAAGCTTCCAGTCTCTCACGTCACCTACGTTTATATTTTCGTATGTGCTGCGATTACTCGGACGTTCCTGGTTCCGCATTATATGAGTTTCAGATCTGGATAATTTCTCTTCGTCTTTAGGCAGCAAGGACACACCATTGTCCAACTCATCTACAGACATGGAAAGTCTTCTGACATTCCCATTAGCGTGACATTCCAACAACTTCTCGAAGAACATTGCCAAGAGAGGCCGCTCCGATGCTGTAGACATTGCAGAGGTGGGCCTGGAAGAAGAGGCAGACGAAGGCTTGGACGTTCTAGGCGTCGGCAGAGGTTTATTGTCCCTGGAAACTCTAGGAGCTGGTATTGGAATCGGAGAATGGATATTGTCAGAGGACACTCTATTTATTAAATCGCGGCTCAGTGATTCACTTGGATTGCACTTTACATCTCTGCATGAATTAATGTTTTTTTCTTGCTCAAATTCATTGTTATTAGTTTCAGTACATGTATTTGAGATTAGAACTCCATGTAGGCTTTTCAGGGGAAAGGAAACAGCATTTTCATGTAATACTTTCTCTTCAAAATTTAATGAAACTTTGTTTCTAGAATTTAAGACATATTCACTGTCAGTGGTGCAGCCGTATGTTGTTTCTTCAGAAATATTCTTCTCCTTTTGAGAACTTGAATCAACTGGTTCACTTATTCTATTAAATTGCAAAACAGGGGATTTTCGTTCAGTGTGTATTGTGTTGGAACCATTGTTTGTTTCCTCAAGATTTTGTGTTTCTTTCCATTTTGATAGATTACTGTTTTCTTCAACAGTTCCTATAAGTTTCAATCCACGTTGTTTACGTTCAATTGTCATAGGTTTTCGGTTTGAGATTATCATTTTTCTGCTTTGATTTTTGTTCTGCAAGACAGAAACTGCGTTTTTTTTCACGTCTTCAGTGTCTACATGAATCCTAAATTTTGAACTCTGTGGTTCACATTTATTTATATTGTATTTTGTGTAATTTCCTCTCACCTCCCCTTTATTTACGCAAGAACCAGAATTATCTCTCACGATCGTTGTAATTCCTGAAATTTGCTCGATCCATTCAACTTGTGATTCAGTGTCATCTTCAGTGATGGTACTTTTTATTAATGTGATTTTTGGCTTCTCTTGTAAAACGGAAAATTCTCCTAAACATTTATCTGTGTTTGAGGAAGGCTCTTCACTTTCACAAGATAAAACAAGAGGTTCCTTGTCACCGGCAATTTTATCAACATCATCTGCCTGTAGAGTGCATTGGTCATCTGCTGCGATGGACCAAGAGGAGTGTAAACTGCAAACGTTATCGTACTCGCTCTGAGGTGAAGCAATCTTCTCAACGTGACCCGATGAGTATACTGGGAAGGGTGTATCGACTTCTCCAGCGTCATTCTCAGGTTCAGAATTGACACAATCATTGACGACGTTGTCAGAATCAGGAAAAGTGATTATAAGAGATTTTTGGATGGTCTCAACTTTATCGTTAATAGGTGTGCGTGGAGGAGACGCTGATGGTGCTTCACTGGCGCTTGACTCGTCCTCTTTTAAATCAAAAGAATTGCTAGCAGTCAAAGGAGGGGGAGTATCTAGGATTATTTCCGTAGCGCTGAGAGAACATGTATCATCTAGATCATGAGAGATGGGGTAGTCTAGGAGGGATTCTTCATCGCTATTTTCTTCTAATGTAAACTTTGTATATGTTTCTCTGCCATCAGTCTCAGCGTCTGAACCGGACTCTTCCTGGACGATTTCGTCGACAGGATCCTCAACATGGCGACCTGAACGAATCATGTCCAGATCACTATCAACTAGAGAGAAGCGTCGGTAGTTGTGAGCTTCTGTTGGGATATTTAATTCCGACGGTTTTCTGTACCCAGAAAGGATCTGGAATAGTCTTGGAGGCTTAGGAGGCGGTGGAGTCTGAGGTACTGAGGGAGTGTCAGCTGTTAGGTACTGATTGTAGGTGTTGAACTTATCGAAGACTAGTTTGGGTGGAGGTGGCCTCTTTGGTGGAGTTTTCTTTTTGCTTGGAGGTTTTCGAGTAACTTTGCCCAAAGTCTCATCGGTGATTTCACGATCCTCAAAAGAACTCACGCTTGAGAGCTTCTTAACGATCCGCTTCTTGAAGCTGGTTTGTTCTTCATTGGAGCTGACACTGCTGTTCTTCATTACTAGTCGATGAAGAGAATTAAAAAATCCACTGTCTTCTGTCGAACTCGCACTCAAAGAATGTTGCACAGAGGAATGCATGGAAGCCTCTTCGAGTGAACTCATCCTTGAAGCGCATATTTTCCTAAATTCTGTGCTTTCTGAAGCACTTGACTCTGATATCTTTCTTGCGACTTTATCTTTGTGGAAGTCTGAAATGGTGACATCAACAGAGTTTTCAGTCTCCTTCAGTTGGTTGTCGGACTCTGTTGTGATAATTACGTGAGGAATAGAACTTGGCAACTTAAGACTGCCGACCTTGTCCTCATCAACTTCCGGTCTCCTCGTTTCGACGATTGTTTCTCCTTCATGTTTTTGTGGTGCTTTTCTTTTTTTATGTCCCTTTCTTTTTGTATTTGTCAATTTGTCATGTTCTTTAATATTTCCTTTTTCATTGTAGCTTCTGTTACTCAAAGAACATCTTTCCTCACAAGACATTTGTCTTTCTTGAGCAGAACATTCTTGATGCTTGCGTAAGGCGTCTGTCTTGAAGTCTTGCGAGACGAGCTTGTCTCTCTGCTCTTCAGCAGTCCTTATGCTTGTGTGTAACATATCCTCAGTGGTAACTTGTATATTTTGCCCGTGTAATTCCTCTATTGCTTTGTTATCTTTCAGTCTGTCACAATTTGCAATGCATTCATCTAAGATTCCTTCCTTAAAATATTTCTCGTTCTCAAATCTAGCATCGTCCTGTTTCTTATTTACAACACTTGACTTTATAGATGAAATCATAAGAGAGGGTCTGGGAGCCGCCAGAGGCTGTTTCTCCCTTTTGGGCTTGCAGTCTTTAACCCATGGTAAGGACGGTGTACAGCCTGTACCCTCAATGTCACTCTTGTCAACTGAAGCTCTCTCATAATATGAAGTATCTTCAGCCGAGAAATGTCCCTTGTCGCACTTCAGGCTATTCTCGGGTGTCGACGCAAATGTGTGCTCGCTGCTGTGGGATTTCATGAGCTGATTTGGTTTTTGAGTGTGTGGCTGCCTGATATTTGATACTGATGAACTGTCTCCATTAATTTGCTCCATCGACTCGTATTTTAAAATTATGTCGTGAACTGAACGCTTTATATTTATTTTGCTATGCATTTGGGACGAGGAAGAGTCCATATCAAGCTTGGTACTATTGTCTTCACCTATGTTAATTGCACCACTGCTCGCAATTTTTTTTTTAATATTCTCGTGTTCATTGGCATTGTTGTCTGAGGCTTTTGATTTTGATTCCCGCGATGCAGAGCTGCCTATGGAAGTGGAGGTTTTCAGTGTTATGCTAATGCCCTCATCGTCTACAAAGGAGCTCTTGCGGCGTCTGCACAAACCCCGATAATAGTCTATGTCATCGTCAAAGTCACCTGGTTCGATGCCATCATGGCTCAGAGATTGCATTCTAGAGTCCACCATGAACTCTTCCTGCGTTGGGAAGTTATTCTCCTTGAGTATGTCGTCATAGCTCCTCGAGAGACCACTTGCACTAGCTTTTTCCAAGGCGCTTAAATCCATTACGCTCCTAGACTGTTTTCCCAACATAGTCTTAAAGGCTTTCATGGGTCCTGTGGATTTGCTCGTTGAAGAGGAACGTATTCTGAAGTCTTCTGAAGTAGAATCAGACATATTGTAATAACGTCTTTTGGTAAACTTAGTGTGTCGAATTTTGTTAGTTCTAGAGGCTGAAGACTCGATGCTAGTAAAACTGGCGATGGAATGAGAGTCGCCGTCCACCGTGCAGAGCTTAGGTTGAGGGAACTCACTGTCGTCTTTCGTGAAACCTGTTAACATTGGCTCGTCAATTTTATTACTGCGACGCATGTGAAGGTTAACTTTAAGATTGCCTAGTTTTCCTAAATGTTCAGAGAGATGGCTTCCTCCTGATTTAGTAGACGATGCAGTGTCAAAATCAAATTTTTTCTTCCTTAGGAAAGGAAGTGAAGTTGTAGATGCGGTATCAGATGCTCCTTTCTTGTAAGAGGATCCACTGCCAGATTTTTTTCTTCGTAAAAATGGAAGAGGTGATGAGCGGTGGGATTTGCTGACCTCTGCTGTCTTTGGGTCTTCATTATTTGGTTTTGTAGGGCTTTGAAGATTTTTACTCAGCCCTTTTGTCAATGATTTTTTGAAGGACTTGATATTCACAACGTCATTTGATTTTTGACATTTTTTGTGAGACTTTGTGTGCTCTGGAGGATACCTCATTACTTCACTGACCTGCGGGAGCTCAAAACTCACTGACTTTCGTATTTCAGATCGAGGAGACCATGGTTTTGTTTTTATACGTGTAGGCACATTCTTTCCACAATCGCTCCTGCTCACTTGCAGGGCCGAGCAGCTGCCCCATGACGTCAACTTTCGTCCCTGTTGGTGTTTACCTTTACTTTTTTGTGAAAACTTTAATTCATCATTCAGATTAACCTGCACACTTTTCCAAGTGGTGAGAGGCTTAAGATTGTCAAACTCTTCTCGGCCAGGCTCTGGGATTAGGACAACACCTTCCTTTCTTCCAGGACCCCCTACGAGAGTTGGAGAGCACAAATCACTGAAGTCTTTTGGGGTTGAAATCGCCTTCGAGGACGAATTTCTTTGTTTGATTTTCTGTTTTCGTTCATATCTCTCTCTCCTACACGTCCCAAAATAGTTTACATTTCGGTCTTCCGTTAAAGAAGTCGCAGAAGCTGCCCCACTGTTAGTATTGGTCGCCCCCCTCCTACCGGTTTCTGAGATGTGATCGAAGTCCTTGAACCGTTGTCTTGGTTCCGTTCTTGCTGATGACAAAGCTTCGCGGAGCTCGTCTTGGTGGCCTGAAGCCCGCATCCTGTGAGCTCAGCTGATGCTCACTGTAAATACTGCCAGACGGACCATAATATGGATGAGTTGCATTTGACAATAATTATATGACTCTAGAGGTGCACTCATCGTATCACACACACAATTGGTGGTTTTCAGTGAATTTAACGTTATTTACGAGCAATTTTCCAGTCCATCAAAGGTATTTACTTGTCTGAAAAGATTTGACATTCATATTACAACATTTGGCACCCATAGACAATAACCATTGAAACACTATACACAAGACTTCTTGGAAATCTATATGAGAAGTATTTGATACCATTAATGATGAGATTACCTCTTAATGTAGTTAACACATCCTATGTTATTAATACATTTAACACATTCCTTTACGTGCACAACTTAAAACTTTTCACTAATCCTTTCGGTCGATCCCAAAGTCACAGAGCACTATAGCTTTCTTAAAATAAGTATTAAGCGTTTCAAGTTATTTGGATCAATTAGGGTTTTCTTAAGAATCTGGTTATCCATATCACTTTTTAACTCAATCTCTATTGTAAACTTTATGAAATTAATTTAGGTTATGTATGACAATAAGAGAGAATGTTTGTCTGTCCAAGGGTGTAGACCAGATGCACGTGGCAGCCTCACCCAACTTTGCAGGGTAAATGGCCTGGTGTACGGGATGGTCATAAGCTGGTCAGAGTCAGTCCTGTTGGTCCTATTAAGAGTGGGTCGGGCCGAATAGTAATCTACCCCTTCTCGCTCTACTTATGTTATCGTTAAAAAGTGATTGGCCAAGTTCCTAGATTTACTGACACGAAAACTATGAACATGAATTAATTATTACATTTTTTGAGAGAGAGAGGACGGGGGAAAAGGGGGAAGAGATAAAAGGGAGGAGAGGAGAATGTTGGAGGGATGGAAGGATGAGGGACACAGGTGGAGACGGGAGAAGGGAAGATTTGTAGAGAGGATGGAGAGAGGAGGGGGAGAGAGGAGAGTGGTAAAAAAGGAAAATATAAGCACTGTAAGAAAAATGTAAAGTGGAAGAGATCGGTATAGGGAAAGAGATGAGAGAAAGAGAGGACTGGGAGAGATGAGGTTGTGAGGAGGGAGAAGAGACTCAAATTGATTTATATTATAACAGAGAATGTCTGCTGGTCTGCTCAAGGTTGGAGGCCTTGCAGACGTTAAGGACTAGTCTCGCTTAATGTTCCAGCATGAAACAAGTAGAGTATGGGAGTGTCACAGGCTAGCTGGGCTTGGCCAAAGTATCACCCTAAAGTAGGAGAGAGAGAGAGAGAGAGAAAGAGGGGAAGGGGGTAAAAGGGGGTAAGAGAGCAGTAGCGGAGGATATTGGTTGAGACAGGTGGACTAAGGGTAGAGGGAACGATAGAGAAAGAAAAAAGGACACACACACACACACACACAAATGCACCTTACGACACTGGAAGACAGAAGAGTAAGAGGAGACATGATCACAACCTACAAAATCCTCAGAGGAATCGACCGGGTAAACAAGGATAAACTATTCAACACTGGTGGGACGCGAACAAGGGGACACAGGTGGAAACTGAGTACCCACATGAGCCACAGAGACGTTAGAAGGAACTTTTTCAGTGTCAGAGTAGTTAACGGATGGAATGCACTAGGCAGTGATGTGGTGGAGGCTGACTCCATACACAGTTTTAAATGTAGATATGAAAGAGCCCAGTAGGCTCAGGAATCTGTACACCAGTTGATTGACAGTTGAGAGGCGGGACCAAAGAGCCAAAGCTCAACCCCCGCAAGCACAAATAGGTGAGTACAAATAGGTGAGTACACACACACACAGGGAATTGATAGGGTAGATAAAGAGAGTCAATTTAACACAAGGGGAACACGCACAAGGGGACACAGGTGAAAACTGAGTGCCCAAATGAGCCACAGAGATATTAGAAAGAACTTTTTTAGTGTCAGAGTGGTTGACAAATGGAATGCATTAGGAAGTGATGTGGTGGAGGCTGACTCCATACACAGTTTCAAATGTAGATATGACAGAGCCCGATAGGCTCAGGAATCTGTACACCTGTTGATTGACGGTTGAGAGGCTGGGACCAAAGAGCCAGAGCTCAACCCCTCAAACACAACTAGGTGAGTACAACTAGGTGAGTACACACACACACACACACACACACACACACACACACACACACACACACACACACACACACACACACACACACACACACACACACACACACACACACACACACACACACACACACACACACACACACACACACACACACACACACACACACACACACACACACACACACACACACACACACACACACACACACACACACACACACACACACACACACACACACACACACACACACACACACACACACACACACACACACACACACACACACACACACACACACACACACACACACACACACACACACACACACACACACACACACACACACACACACACACACACACACACACACACACACACACACACACACACACACACACACACACACACACACACACACACACACACACACACACACACACACACACACACACACACACACACACACACACACACACACACACACACACACACACACACACACACACACACACACACACACACACACACACACACACACACACACACACACACACACACACACACACACACACACACACACACACACACACACACACACACACACACACACACACACACACACACACACACACACACACACACACACACACACACACACACACACACACACACACACACACACACACACACACACACACACACACACACACACACACACACACACACACACACACACACACACACACACACACACACACACACACACACACACACACACACACACACACACACACACACACACACACACACACACACACACACACACACACACACACACACACACACACACACACACACACACACACACACACACACGGACGAACGAAGACGATGTCGGACGGACGACAAATTTTGCGGACGACGACAAAATCATGAGAAGGATTAAGACAGAGGAGGACAGCTTGAGGATTTAAGAAGACCTGGACAAGCTGCAAGAATGGTCGAACAAATGGTTGTTAGAGTTTAACCCAAGCAAATGCAATGCAATGAATATAGTTGTAGGGAGCAGTAGACCAGATACAAGGTATCATTTGGGTGATGAATTCCATCAAGTGTCTGAGAGAGAGAAAGACCTGGGGGTTGATATCACGCCAGATCTGTCCCCTGAAGCTAATATAAAGAGGATAACATCAGCGGCATATGCCAGGTAGGCTAACATTAGAACGGCCTTAAGAAACCTATGTAAGTAATCTTTCAGAACTTTGTATACCACAAATGTCAGACCAATCCTTGAGTATGCAGCTCGAGCATGGAGTCCATATCTAGTCAAGCATAAGACTAAACTGGAAAAGGTTCAAAGGTTTGCCACCAGACTAGTACCCGAACTGAGGGCTATGAGCTACGAGGAGAGACTACGGGAATTAAACCTCACGTCACTGGGAGACAGAAGAGTTAGAGGGAATATGATCAGAACATACAAGATTCTCAGAGGAATTGATAGGGTAGATAAAGACAGGCTATTTTCCACAAAGGGCAAATGCACTAGGGGACACATGTGGAAATTGAGTGCTAAAATGAGCCATAGAGACTTTAGAAATAATTTTTTCAACGTCAGAGTAGTAGACAAATGGAATGCATTAGGAAGTGATGTGGTGGAGGCTGACTCCATACACAATTTCAAGTGTAGATACGATAGAACCCAGTAGGCTCAGGAACCTGTACATTAGTTGATTGACAGTTGAGAGGCGGGACCAAAGAGCCAGAGCTTAACCCTCGCATGCACAATTCGGTAATTATGTAAGTACACACAACATACACACATATCACACACTAGACACACACACACACTCACACACACATAATACATTAGACAACCGAGGGTTAGATAGGTGGGGTTTAAGAGCTAGCAAGTCGATCTTGCAGGCGAAAATCTTAAATACATATAGGCTATATACATACACAAAATATATATGTATATAAACATATATAATTATATATGTGTATATGTGTGTTTAAATATTGTCAGTCCTACGCTATTCCATGTACATCTAAATTTAAGCCGAATACCTGTGATGGATATTCCACTTTAATGGTTATCAGAGTTCACTCGCATATCTCTACTTGAAGTGCATGTAATTTAGCATATCACAATACGAAAGATGTGAATATGTTCACGATGGTTGGTCGTCACAATATGCCATTAAGCTCTAGTGGTCACAATATGTCCTCGAGGATTAAACGACTCAATATGTCCACGAAGACTGCACGTCGCGATATGTTCATGAAGGCTGGATGTCACAATATGTCCACGAGGACTAAGCATCACATGTCCACGATGGTTGGACGTTATATTATGTTCACTCGGGCTGTTCGTCACAATATGGCCATGATGGCTAGATGTTATAATATGTTCACGAGGGTTGGACATCACAATATGTTCACGAGGGCTGGACATCACGATATACAATATGTTCATATAGGTTGGACGTCAAAATATAACTTCAGTCGAAAGATATATCTAAACCCATTTACAAGAGGCTGGCACACGTCGTCCTCACTCATCAGAGTTGAACCACAGAATGATCTGGCGTGGCGCTGGGAAGGTATGGAGAGGAAGAGAGGGAGGGAGGGAGGGTGGGAGGGAGGGAAGGAGAGGAAGAGGAAGAGAGGGAGGGATGGGGCAGTAACTGGTGCCACACGTGTTGGCACAGGTGTTGTGGCACCTGATGATTCATCCTTTTCTGCTCACTTCTCTCTCTCTCTCTCTCTCCTTGTCTATCTCCTCTATTCCTCTTTCACTCTCTCACTTATTCTCTCCATCTCACCTTCTTCGTCTTGCATATCAATAGTAATATCAAATATATAAGAAAGTGTTAGATAATACAGTTATGTACAAAAATAAGATGATAACGCCTACATACAAAGGGACACGACATTGATTCACGTGAAGATTATGTTGCTAGTTTATCCTCCATAATATCTGGGAATGAACCTAAACCTTGTTATTAGAAACTGGCTAAAGCTAGAAGATAAGGTGAGGGGAGGGAGGGAATTATCAGGGTAAAGCGCCAAGCCATTACGACTGTATA